GAAGGTGTTGCGCTACTTGTGCCGTACGTCGGGCATGGGGCTTGTGCTTGGAGGACGGGCTCGAGTTGTCCTCACTGGTCACGCAGACGCTTCCTGGGCTGACGACTTGGCTACGCAGCGGTCGTCACAGGGTTACACCTTCAGCCTTGGCTCCGGCTCTGTTTCTTGGCGGTCTACCCGCTCGTCTTCTGTTCTCAGCTCCAGTTGTGAGGCTGAGATCTACGCAGGGGCCATGGCTGCACAGGAGTTACGCTGGCTCACCTACCTGCTGACCGACCTGGGAGAGCCGCCTCGTTCTCCTCCAGTGCTGTACGTCGACAACAAGGCCATGATTGCCTTGTGTCAGGAGCACAGACTGGAGCACAAAACGAAGCACATCGCTCTGCGCTACTTCCTTGCTCGAGAGTTGCAGCAGCGTGGTCAGCTTCATCTTGCTTACGTGGCCACTCGGGCCAACACTGCTGATGTCTTCACCAAGGCACTTCAGCCTTGTGATCATCAGCGTTTCTGTACTGTTCTAGGCCTTGTGCCTACTGTGCCTCACTTGCTTACTTCTTGACTCTGCTTGTACTGTGATCTCTATACATATACCTGCATGCTTACACTTGCTAGGTTGTGATCACTGTATTGCTTGTTCTCCTTTATATAACTCTGCATGTGAACTGGCCTTGTGGCCATTTTCTTGTGCTCAGAATGCGTGGTGACGTCGTGATCCACCCTGAGCTTGCTTTGCCTTTCTTGACCGGTCTTCTGACCTCTTGTTCTCCCCCACTTTGCCTATGGGGGTGTGTCAAACTTATATGCTATAGCCTGTGTAGGCTGTAGTGGGGTAGTTCATATAGGGTACAACACTTTTAGGTTTCCTACTTGTACCCACCTGCTTGCTAGTTCAGTCACTCCTTCCTTCACTATTCTGACAGTAGCTTCCGTAGCGGTTTCAAAACGCGGTCTTGTAGCAATCGTCGGCGAAGACCCAAATATGGTGGTAACCGCCACGAAGTCGATTTTCGAGAAAGAGCGAGCACCGCGAAGCTGATCGAGGAGGTCGTCGGTACGTGGGATTGGATAGCGGGACTTGATGGTGGCCCTGTTGAGCGCACGACAGTCGATGCACATGCGAAGGCCGCCGTCCTTTTTCGGCGTAAACATGATCGGAGCTGCGAAGGGAGATGTACTGGGTCATATAAACCCCTTCTCCAACAGTCCGTCAATTTGGCTTCGTAGCTCCTCGAGTTCCGGCTGAGTCAGTCGCCACTGTGTACGAACAGTCAGTTGCGCGCCAGGTTACTGTGTATTTTGTGGTCCTCGGGGCGTCCTGTGCACAGCTTCGCGATGTCCTTTCCGTCGGTGTCAGTTGCCAACTCGCGCAAACACACAGCAAACAGCTGCGCGCCTCGATTGAAATGGCGGGCAATAGTGATGGCTTTGACGCACTGGGCCTGAATGTAGTCCGGGGTCCATGCAGGTAATGTAATGAGCCCATCGTGCTTGCTGATACTGCACGATTCCGTCGTCGAGTCGATGATGGGGTTGTGTAGTCGCAGCCGATCATGTCTCAGAAGCACGTCGCAGCCGTCCGGCGTCGTTGCATGAATCGAACCACGACTCGGTGGGGATGGTGAAGTTTGGGCGACAGAGCACAGTCGGTAAGGGGCCCGTATATCACAGACTCTTCCTATTTCCTGGCTCTTTCCCGTCGTTCCTTTTCGCCGACGTTTTCTCGTGGTAGTCTCTAGACATGTGACCCGATTTCCCATACTTATAACACAGCCCCGGAAAGGGGCGGTCGGGTGCATGGACTCCGTTGATTGTGGCCCGTTGGGTCTGTTTGCGAAAACGGTTTCCCTCCCGGGAACCTCCCCTCGCCCACTGCATCAGCGCATCTGTAGATCCTGCCAGCCGTACGGCTTCCAGGAACGTAGTCGGGCGGCATCGGCAAACCTCATACTCTATCTCGTAATTAAGTCCGCTGATATACTTATCCAACCGCTCCAGCTCCGCCATGTCGTCCACTTGGTAGTCCTGAACAGAAGCCAACTGCGACCAGGCACGCAGCTTCATGCGGGCTTGCTCCGAGGCGGATACGTGCTCGAAACGATCTTGCAAGGCTACGCCCCACTCCTTCCACGTGCGAATCCTAGTCACACTGAATATTGATGTTGCCACTTGATTAGCCGAAGTTGAGGTCCCGTCTGCCGCATGTGTCACACCTGTCGGGGTCCCCGTGTCCAAGGTACGTCGACACCACTCCAGAGTGGGTCCTTGGAGAAGCAAAACCGAGTAATTAATACGAGTGGCATCGTCGTCAACTCGCGCTGCAGTAAATAAAACCTTTACGCCAAATAGCCACCCCTTAACTGTGGTCGCCTTGTCGGTCGGGTTGAACGGGGGCGGGCTCGCGGGTTTTTTCTTGATTGTAATAACTGCAAGTGTTGTTGGTGCCGGCGCTTCTCGCCTATCGCTCTCGTCGTTTCTGCGTGTGAGTTTGCCACTTGTAACGACGCCACTCACGCCATGGCTGGTGGTATCGCCTTCTTCAACGGGCGACTCCTGACACGCTTCACCTTGCGTCTGTCGTAGCTCGACGTTTTCTCAACGTAGATGCTCCACTTCTGTCATCAATGACTTAATGCTCTCCTGCATTTCTGCCATTTGCACCATCATTTTGTTAACTGCTTCTGTCAGAATCCCAACCACTAGACCATTGGGATAAAAGGGCTTGTTTCAGTAGCGGGTCAGTGCGCCCATATCCGTGGTAAGAACTATCGGAGTCGGGCAGGTTTGAATTACAAGCCTTGCAGCCAACGTCGTGCAGTCCATTGTACTAGCCAACCTGTGCCACTAAACTCGAAAAGCGAGGTGAACTAGGTAGATAGCTCAGATACCAGGTGTATGAGTTGTAAAACAGAGTTGCGCGGAAAACGGATAACGAGGCTGTGACTCAATGAACTCACAATACAATGAAGGCACGTGATAATATAGTAGCTATTGTAGCTAGGAGGGAACCTCAGAGATGCGAGGTTGGGTGCAGGTTTGGCTAGCGGACAACCGGGGGCGACGCGGGGCAGCCTCGGAATGGTGGATGTCAGCCGAACGTGCGAAGTCCGAAATGTTGGGGTTGTACGCGTAGCAGTAAACCCCTTCCAAGGAAAAGGAAAATTTACCTACAGAGGCTGTTGCGTTTCGGTCAGTAACGCAGTCAACATGGTCAATGCGAATTTCCAATACATGCGATGTGTCCCCATAAAATGTTCACAGTACACAGTTATTCAAGAGCTGTTCAAGACTTGATCATACAACACAAATTTTGGGTACCCTGTTTACTACGGTAAGTTGTACCTAGGCTGGTCAAGAAGGTTGCGCGTCTTGATCAGCCAGCTGACGAACACACGACTGCTGGTTTGAACAACTCGTTCGTCAGCAAAAATATTATGTACCGCATCGTTGGTCAACATAATCGACGAAACGGATTTTCGCGCACCAAGTAGCAGTCGCCCGTGAGTGAGAAGGTAGCGAAACGGTTACAGGAGTCACAACTTCCAGTGTTGTAGGCAGGTTCGTCATCTCGACTGAAATTAGTTCTTAGACGAGTCTTGTCCACCCGCTTTTGTAACATGTTCCAAAATGTTTATTTTGACCAGAATTTTCTCACCAACCTCGTTTGAACCCCGTTCAAGCTAGCTTGAACGCATTGTTCGTCATTTCCATCTTGAACAGCTCTTGAACAACTGTGTACCGCGCCCTTAACCGCTAATGATCCTAGGGTTGTGATGTTGGTGATCTAGCTGCGTGAAACATTGCCAGGTGTACCACGCTCTAACCCCAGCATCTGCCTTCCACATAACGCGATAGCCAGCCCTCAGGGCGTGTCCAACGCGTACATTTTGGGAATTTTAGTGCCCAAACACGTGCCGGGGTTCAAAACAGATCACCGTACCTAGAAACGAACGCACTGTGAGCCGGGTCCACCCCACTAGCGCGTGGACACATATCCCCACACAAACTTCAACAGTGCCAGGTCCGCGTGGAAACCTAGGTAACCGGTTCCCTCGTGAAGAATAGGTCTGGCATTTTTGCACATGCGAGTTGCCTGGCCATGTGGTTTGCCAAAGCGGAGGTGGTTTTGGCGAGTCTCGTGCTGTACTGGCGAAAGTGTGCGAGCCATTAGAGGGGCCACCTCTGTAGTGGGCAGGACGCAGTGCTGGACCCTAGTTCGCGCGCACGCTGCATGTAGTAACGTGAGTCACACGACTCGAGGTACGTGCAGCTGGAGTGCCGTCTCGTGAACAAAAGCTGGTCGTGTCCGCCCTTTTTGTAAAATGCTGTGTTACAACGCTAAATGTGGTAACTTTGGGGATTTAAGAAGTGTAGGAGCGGGACTCCCCTCATCCAAAACTTGACGCTCCAACAGGCGGAACCTGGCGCACTGGTAGCTAGTCAGTCGTGACTCACGACTCACAAACTTCCGCGCTTCTCCAGGCTCGCTCGCTGCTTCGAGCACTGGCTGCTGCAGGGACGCGCAGAAAAGAGCTGCAGTAGGCCGAGAGAGCAGTGTGCGTGCGAGGAGTCAGCCGTTCGGAGCCGGCTGTCCAGCGCGCATCCGCATCCTTCCGAGACGAGCCCCCGAGTAGAGGATCCCGCCGCCCGCCATGGAGGCAGCGCTGGGCTGTCGCGTCCGTCCGCGCGCCGCAGTCGGCTCTGCGGCGCCACTGGCGGCGCGTCGTTGTCCCTCGGGCCGGTTTGCTCGCGTCGCGTCCAGCCCAGATTCCCTTGCGCCGCGCCCCCTCCTCCACCGCGCGGCGCTGCATCCGCTGCAACCGCGTCGCCACCAACTCAGCACGAGCAGCTTGCGCCTGCCACAGCTGGGCTTGCGCCCGCCCGTGTCCGCCCGCCGCCCCCATCGCCCGCCGTCCCGCGTCGCCAGGGCGGCGCCCGCGGCGGAGTCGGCGTCCAGCGAAAGCAGGGACGATGTGACTGTAACGGGCGACGCAGAGGCGCAGCTGAGAGCGGCGTCAGCGGCGGAGGGGAGGGCGGAGGAGGGCGGGACGGTGGAGTGGAGTCGCGCGTGGTACGCCGTGGGCGTGACGGCTGACATGGACGCGACTCGCCCGCACGCCATCACCATTGTGGGCCGCCCGCTCGTGCTCTGGCGCGACGCCGCGGGGTCGTGGCGCTGCTTCCTCGACCAGTGCCCCCACCGCCTCGTGCCGCTCTCCGAGGTGCGCCCTGCAAGCGCCTCCCATCACACCTGTTCCCATCACACCTTTTCCCATCACACCTGTTCCCATCACACCTGTTCCCATCACACCTGTTCCCATCACACCTGTTCCCATCACACCTGTTCCCATCACACCTGTTCCCATCACACCTGTTCCCATCGCACCTGTTCCCATCACAGCTGTTCATCACACCTGTTCCCATCACACCTGTTCCCATCACACCTGTTCCCATCACACCTGTTCCCATCGCACCTGTTCCCATCGCACCTGTTCCCATCGCACCTGTTCCCATCGCACCTGTTCCCATCGCACCTGTTCCCATCGCACCTGTTCCCATCGCACCTGTTCCCATCGCACCTGTCCCATCGCACCTGTTCCCATCGCACCTGTTCCCATCGCACCTGTTCCATCGCACCTGTTCCCATCGCACCTGTTCCCATCGCACCTGTTCCCATCGCACCTGTTCCCATCGCACCTGTTCCCATCGCAGTTCCCATCGCACCTGTTCCCATCGCACCTGTTCCCATCGCACCTGTTCCCATCGCACTGTTCCCATCGCACCTGTTCCCATCGCACCTGTTCCATCGCACCCTGTTCCCATCGCACCTGTTCCCATCGCACCTGTTCCCATCGCACCTGTTCCCATCGCACCTGTTCCCATCGCACCTGTTCCCATCGCACCTGTTCCCATCGCACCTGTTCCCATCGCACCTGTTCCCATCGCACCTGTTCCCATCGCACCTGTTCCCGATCGCACCTGTTCCCATCGCACCTGTTCCCATCGCACCTGTTCCCATCGCACCTGTTCCCATCGCACCTGTTCCCATCGCACCTGTTCCCATCGCACCTTTGCCCATCGCACCTGTTCCCCATCGCACCTTTTCCCATCGCACCTGGTTCCCATCGCACCTGTTCCCATCGCACCTGTTCCACCTTCGCCATCGCACCTGTTCCCATCGCACCTGTTCCCATCGCACCTGTTCCCATCGCACCTGTTCCCATCGCACCTGTTCCCATCGCACCTGTTCCCATCGCACCTGTTCCCATCGCACCTGTTCCCATCGCACCTGTTCCCATCGCACCTGTTCCCATCGCACCTGTTCCATCGCACCTGTTCCCATCGCACCTGTTCCCATCGCACCTGTTCGCATCGCACCTGTTCGCATCGCACCTGTTCCCATCGCACCTGTTCCCATCGCACCTATTCCCATCGCACCTGTTCCACCCGCACCTATTCCCACCACACCTGTTCCCATCGCACCCACCTCAATCTTATCACTTTCCCAAACCCCCCCCCTCCCCCCTCCCCCCCTGCCCAACGGCCACAGGGGCGCATAGACTCATCAGGGCGGTTGGCGTGTTCGTACCACGGTGTGGGCGTACCCCTCTACCCGCTGGGTCAGAATGGAGGTGTTATAGGCGCAAGCGGATGCCCACCACATGTATTCCCATCACCTGTTCCCGGCTCACCCACCTCCTCTCACCCCGCCCCCTCCCAACGGCACGGCCACAGGGCCGCATAGACGCGGAGGGGCGGCATGGCGTGTTCGTACCACGGGTGGGCGTTTGCAGGCAGCGGCGCGTGCGAGCTCATCCCGCAGGCCGCCCCGGAGCACCCCGGCCAGCCCCCCCGCGCCGTGTGCTCCCCGCGCGCATGCGCCACTGCCTTCCCCGTGAGGGAGTTCCACGTGAGTGCCGCACGTGTCACGGGCTACATACACAATAGGAAGCTTATCATCCGTGGGTCGCAGGTCATGAAAGGCAGGTCGCAATAACCCACTGTGCCTAGCTAACAGCGAGAGCTGGAGCCTGAAGGCATCATGCTGGGGTAGTCCCGAGCAAGGAGAAGGGCATGAGAGTGGCGAGATGGCAAGGAGAAGGGCAAAGCGGGGCGGCTGCTCGGCTGCATCGGCTTGCCTGTGCGTGTCCGCAGAGCAAGTGGGTTAGGGGCGAGGGGAGGAGGGGCAGTGGTGAGAGACAACTGTGCCTCCCCTCCCCTCCCAATGCCCACAGGGGCGGCATCGGCTTGTCCGTCGCTTCTCAACAGTCCACCCAGCCAAATCGCCCCCCACTCTCCCCGCTGCGCGCCCGTTGGCTCCCCCTCCCTTGCCCCCACTTCCCCCCCGCCCACCCCAGGGGGTGCTGTTCGTGTGGCCAAATGAGCATTCGGCAGAGCAGGCGGAGGCGATGCCACTGCCGCTGCCGCACGGGGTGGAGTGGGACGAGTACGAGGTGCTGCCGCACTACACGCGGCGCCTGGCGTACGGGTATGAGGTTCTGGTGGAGAATGTGGTGGACCTCTCCCACTTCCCCTTCGCCCACCACGGCGTCGGCATGACC